TGAATTTCATATTTAAATATTGTTAAATTTAATAATTATAATATGAAATTAATGTAATATATTAATTATAATATAAGTGAAAATAAAGAATATGTGTTTAAAATATTAGTATGTATAATTTTTTTTTATTAGACATTTTGAAACATCAGCAACAAGAGTTAAGTTGCTGAAAGCATGGAGAATTACTATTCAGCTCACTATCAGCAACAAGGAATATGTTGCTGATAGTACACCTATAATCACCATCAACTAGTCCCTCCTAACTTTTAGCAACACAAGCCATGTTGCTGAAAATCTAGTTTCAGCAACATGGCTTATGTTGCTGAAAATGAGGCCAAGTTCCGGTCATCGGTTTCCCACTAATTTTTAGTAGTTTACCACTAATTTTCAGCAACATGAGCCATGTTGCTGAAACCCCATCTTCAGCAACGTGGCTTATGTTGCTGAAGAGGGTGAGGAAATTCACCTCCCCTCCCCACCGGATTCCGATGAAAGTTTTCAGCAACATAAGTTATGTTGTTGATACTTTTTTTTCAGCAACATAGCTTATGTTGCTGATATATTAGCAACATGATTTTGGTTGGTAATGTATTACCCACCAAGTCTTCTCCAACAAAACTTTTAGCAACCAAACCCATGTTGCTGAAGGACTTTCAGCAACATGGAAAGCACTTTCAGCAACATGCTTCCATGTTGTTGAAGGCTTGAATTTTAGTAGTGAAAGTTGTAACTACCAAAAAAAAATTATTATTGTGGGCCAAGTTTTCATCTTGAAAAATTGTGGATACACCCTCTAATTTAACATAATTTTTAGCCATTAGAATATATGTTAAATGTCAATTTTGATTCCTCAACTTTAAAGTTTTGTATAGTTTTAGATCTTCAACTTTTTAAAGCATTTTTTTGGTCCTTCAACTAAAAAAAATACACTTTTTTGTTCTTCCGTGTGTTAGTCTCTTGACTTTGTACAAATATGCACATTTTTAGCCACTAAATTTATATTATATGTACATTTTTAATCCCTAAATTTAAATCTACATATCTAGATAGATTTAATGGACTACCTAACAAAAGAACTAAAAAAGTGCATTTCTTAGAGTTGAAGGACCAAAAGTGATATTTAACCTATAATATAATATAAATATAATCAATTCAACTAGTTTTTGCGTCTTTTATTCATGGTTGCTTTGTTAAATTTATCTATTTTTAATTTTAGACTAGAAACTAATAATTTTTAATAAATATATTGTGCAATGTATGAAACCAAAAAATGTAACATCATTGTCCTTTCATCTTTTTTATAGTACATGTTTTTTTTTTTTTTCTGTTTTGCTTAATTAAAAAATTTGAAAGTGAAAATCGGCCAGAGTCATTTGTTTTCAATTTTTTTTTTAATTAAGGAGCACATAAATTTTATTAAATCTTTCAATCTTTCTTAATTAAAAGTAGTTTGGTTTTAAAGAAAACCTTTTATTTTTTTCTTAAGGAGCTAGACACTTGTCTAAAATATATTATGACTTTGCTATATATTGCTGCGCTACTTATTTTAGGTTTTGTGCAGCCTGAATTTTTTATGTATACAAATTTTTTAATTATGACAAACGGAGGGAGAAGTGTTATGGAAATGCACATCTCATGGATGAAGCATGGATAAAGGGGGAGAGTCTCTAACCCTCTCTCTCTAATCTTGTTACTTATCATAATTGATTTTACTTGGTTGGATTAAATGATTGAGGACAAGATATGCTTTTTTCAAATTGTTTCAATTTAAGGGGATATTTTTGAAAATTCTACACATTTACACCATGATTTTGTCATCATAAAAAAGGGGAGAATGTTGTTCTTAATATTTGATGACTAACAAAATCAACTGTGAATTGAATATTTGGAAAACAAGTCTTCAAATTTAACAATTGTAGACTTTATGAATTACACTTCACATTCGAAGTGATTTCTTTCATCTCAATTCTTACATTAATGCAACCCAAAACCAATATTAAAACCAACTTCAAACAAATCCATAAATTGATTAAAAAATATTACAAAAATGTTCAAAATAAAATCAACAAATTGTTCCAATTTTAACACCAAAAAAAAAAAATGGAAACCCTAGCTACTCTGCCAGGGGAGGTGGCTGTTGCTCTGCAAGATGAGGTGGTTGTTGCACTACAGGAAAAGGTGGCTGCTCCACTTCTGGAAGGGTTGGCTGCTCTTCTTCTAAGGGAACTGGATGGATCTCCACTTGAGGAAGTGGCTGGCTCTCCTCAATTTTAGTTCATTTTGCCTCTGCTTCCCCTTCCTTTATTGCCACAGACTCGAAGTCAAAATTAGGAGGAAAAATAGTGCATCCTTCTTCATTATGATCCCACCTCAGCTTAATCTGAGGTTGGAAATTAGTTGACATGCTTTCACCATTCTTCTCCACTCCTTCCTCTTGTTCACCAAAGGTGATCTTCGTTACATTCACTTTGGGATATTAAGCTTTCACCTTCTTTCTACAATCAATGAAGGCAAGGATCGCGATAGGCAGCCGGTAAAGGTTGACAATATTGTCAAACGAACTGGAGTTGAGAAAATTTGCAATGTGCTCTTCTATCCCATTATTCACTAGCAGCTTCACTTTTTTCTTGAGCTTGGCTTCAGATTCTTTCATTCTCTTTATTTCTTCCTCTTGTGCTTCAATCTTTTCCTCGCACATTTTCCTCTTCTTTTCATTGAATGAAAGAATCGTCTTCAACAAGTCTCTCTCGTTTTGTAAGCTCGTCACTGTTGGTATTGCCATATCCAGCTCCCTCTGCATCTCCCCATTTTTCTTTTGCAGCTCATCTTTTTGTTGCTGTAGGCTATTATGCTCTTTAACGAGTTCCATGAACTCTTTGGCTAACGCATTAACCCAGGTTGTAGTCTGCAATATGAATACTAGTTAAAAGAGAGAGAGAGAGAGAGAGAGAGAGAGAGAGAGAGAGAGAGAGAGAGAGAGAGAGAGTAGAAAAAGAGACAAAAACACTAAGAATTATTATCCCTTAGCTTACCTCAAGAGCATGCTTAACAACTGAAATCCCTTCATGAATTAGCGCTTCCTCCCTTGCTCGACGACGATCCACTTCAAGAACATATGAGTTTATAAAATTCTTCACCGCCGACATATTCTTGTTTGCAAAAATGTTGCTCTAGAGGGAAGGAGTAGGAACGAGAACTTTACCTTTGCCATGGGTTGTAACCCCAGTCTCTTTGAGCTCAGGATCAAGCTCAACAAGAGGTGGCCGAGGTACAAACTCCATTACCTCGTCCCCTCTGATCTCCTCCTCTGCCACTTTCTTCTTCTTTTGCTAAGCTAGATCCACTTCTTCACTTCTTTTTCGTTTGGAATCCAAACTCAGCTTATCAACATCCACAGCTCAAACTGATGTACTTGATATATGCTCTTTCTCATTGTTCCCATTTCCTCTCCCACTTGCAATAGTCTCATAAGTCTTTGACTTCTTCCTCGGCTTCTTAGGAATAGCTATCCCTTCAACAGAACTCAAAAACTTATCCATCTCAGCTGCAAAATAGCAAAAATGTTAAACACGTAAGTCAGAAACTAACACTAAATCATGCAAAACAAAACACAAATACACCTTCACTCAATGAGCTTGGCCCATAGAGCTCAGCAGCATTTATGACATCCGAACTTATATCCAAGATTTCACCTTTCTCCCTCACCAACTTCTCCACCTCTTCCTCCTCATCACTATTTAAACTATACTTATTTTGGTTGGTTTTCTTAGCCTTCCAACTACACAAAAATTCTACCTCTCCATCCTTCCTTTCCCACTACGTATCATCAACAAAGAAAAATTTTCCTTCCATCCCTTAATGGATAAAGGTCCTGCACTAAATAAGTTCCTTTTTCTTTGTTAGACACGTGAGGTGTGAAGGAATACCATCCCTTCTCCTTCCTACTCCCAGCCTTAAGTATAAAACAATGTTTAAACATATTCATAGTGGGCACCTTAACACCCCTAGCCCGGCAGTACACCATAAACCCAATTATCGCCCTTATTGCATTAGGAACAAATTGGGTCAAACCTACGTTATACTCCAACAATAACCAAACTAGCAACTCTGGAATTGGAAACCTAAGCCCTACTACTAAATAATGAGCATACATAGGCATCCAATGGTCCCGAGGTGCTGAGCAAGCCCTCTCCTTCACCCCAGCAGGCCTAATCAAAACTTGATGTGGGAGGTCATAAGTTTCAACTAGGTAACTAAGGCTATCCCTAGTAACCAGTTCACTCTCATACCCTTTCACTTCAAAGACAATGTCTGCCTCTACATCGTAACACCTATCATCCCCACCCTCAATTTCCAAGATATTCGAGGGTATTTCCTCTCCCTCACCCTCAACCACTTCCCTAACACCCACCTCATCCTCAGCCCTATCTGACCCGGACAGCCCACTCTCTATGCCCCCATCACCATACTTCAACACCTTCACTTCCTCGCTCCCCCTAACGCTCAATGTTTCCTTAGAAGACATCTCTTTAATTTCGTAACTTTCATTGCACGGAGTAGGGCAGAATGAAGTCAGGATCTTCAAAAAACTCTAACTCACGCTCAATATCACTCTCACTCCTAACCCTAACCTCCTTAAGAGGGCTTAAATCTAAATCAGAAAGGGTGAGAGGAGAATAAAACTCGTCACTACTATCAGAATCACCAAAGTTCATAAGTTACCTGATTCAATAGTGTAGAAGAAGTTTCGAAGTCAAAAACGTAATGCAGAAATCAATCGCACGAGCACAATGAAAATTTTGGCAACATTTCGGTAGCAAATACGGCAAAAGTAAAACCCTTTCTACAAAAGTATAGCTATATATACCAAAGCAAATATAGGCCTCAATGGTTGTGATTAATTTTATTTGACGGTCATAATTACACCGTTTCGAATTCGACGGTTAATCACTAATGGAACCCTCTCGAATTCAACGGTTCGTTTTCGATTACGTCTATTTAACTATAGAAGTTACTTTTTACAGCTTGTATTTATTGTTCACGTCTTTCAAAAGACAGTTGTCATATCACGTATTAACTCTATGTCAGGCTTTTTACACGGGCTCAATTAAGCCCCACCCAAGTTCTTTTGCTTCCACAAATGTCTTTCAATTTTACGAGTGTTTAACCTCGAGTGACCTTGAGTTACACTTTTTACTTCGACTCTAGCCACAATGACTCCGGTCATCACTTGTTACTTTGGCTCCAGCCACAATGACTTCAGTCATCACTTGTTACTTTGGCTCCAACCACAATGACTCCGGTTATTACTTTTTCACCTTGGCTACAACCGTAGTGACCCTGAGTCACCTATTTTACTTTGGTTTTGACCATAGTGACCTCGAGTCACATATTTTACTTTGGCTCTGGCCATAGTGATCCCGAGTCATTTGTTTTACTTCGGCTACGGCCATAGTGACCGTGAGTCACCATTTTACTTCGGCTACGGCTTCAGTGTCCACGAGTCACCATTTTTACTTAAACCACAGCTTTAGTGACCTCGAGTCACCAACTTTACTTCGGTTACGGCCATAATGACTTCGAGCCACCATTTGTACTTCAACTTCAACCATAATGACTGCAAGCCAGCAATAACATTGCTCCATAACATATTTCTCTCATTAATTGAGTCTTTAACATTTTATCACACTTCATCATACATTTTCAAAAGATACACTACCTTTACTATCTCTGACTACATCATTCACAAGTGAATGACTTCAAGGGGGGAATAGTATAAGGATAGGTCCGAGGTTAAGAACCTCAGACGTACTGCCATATTTCATTAATGACCGAAGTAGCCTGCAAGCTCAGTTCTTCTCGATCGTGCAGTAGCATGACAGCTACAGTAGACACTCCTGCACCCGATTCTTTATCCCCGAGATGATCGCCTGAATGGACATGTCAGACTCCAATTATCTTGTTAAGTAGGCCATGTGGATACCTCATCAGAGCCTATAAATACCCCCCAAGGGCCACCTCAAAAAGGTAATTAAAACCAACGTAAAGCTCCTTTTTCCATTATTCTAAAAGTAGATCTGATTATTGTTGACTTAAGCATCGAAGTGTCTACCCCAAGGATCTACCTCGGGCCTTTGCAAGTTTATCTGGAGTGAAGACGCAGACTAAAGAAGGACTTCTGGTTTGGTGCAATTACAATACCAAAAGCACATTTAGCATTTGTAATTTCCTTTATTGTCTTGAGTTCTATTTCTTTTCTATTATGGTTTCTTAAACTCTATAAATATCAAATTAAAAATTAAATTTAGGGATTTTAAGAGAGATAAAAAAAGAGATAGTTAAGAGGAACTCAATATTAAAAAAAGATCATTTTTTGCTTTTTCTTATTGCTCCTTTACAAGTCCGAGTGAAAGTGTTCCCCTTGACTTGATGTTGATGCCTTTGGAGTACCACTTGTACTTTGGTTAATAAAATTTGTTTACTTGGTTGGTGAAAAAAAATATTTTTTAATAATTAATTTAAAATAAAAATTTAATCATTTTAATAACTCTAACAAATTAATGGTGCCCATCAATTTCATGTTATGTTTTTACAGGTTTAATTGCTAAAACTTTTTACTTTTTGGAGATATATCTTCTTTTGGTTTTTTCCCTGAAGATTATAGGCCTGGTCTTCACGCCACATTCATACATCATTTTAAAAAATAACATTGATATAGACGCCCTCCAAATCAAATCCTAAAGTTGCACAGACATGGTAGATCTAAGCGTGTGGCATGCCATTTGCTTATCTATAAAGTAAGAAAAGAGGATTTTCCCACCAATCCTCTCCTTCCACACAAGTGGCTTTTGTTAGGGTGGCTAAAAGAATGTTGGTTATAAAGTTGAATTTTGTGCCCTTAGAAGATTGTAAGAGGGGTAAATGCCTTCTTGCAGAATATGTTACTAATTTACCTTGGACAACTCCAAGAACTTACATACTATCATTGAATTAAAGTTAATAAATTGTAAACGAACTTAATGAACTACAATTTTTTTATCAACTAAATTAAGTGCAAATTAGAGTAGACTTACCAATGAAAAATGCATCCAAATTAAACTAAATATATTTATTGTTAGACCAAATTATAATCTACAGATAAAATTGAAAACTACACTACTACAAAATTGGAAATATAATGGAGCTATCAAATCTACTTGAAACTAAATGATCATGAAACTAACATGAATAGAGAGTAAATGAAATAATACCTTGTAGAAATTAAAATGCTAGTTGTTCATTTCACGAAGAAATATTGTTGAAGCAATTACACAAACTAGATTAGTGAAATGAATGTTGAAAACAACTTAAATCTATTGGGAATTATCTTGAAAATTAAAATCTATAAGCTAAGGTGAGGGATTGCTATAAAAATCTACGAGTGCTAAAGTTGTTGTCAAGTTGTTTTAAGGCTGGCTGTGTGTTCAATGATCAGAAAATTCACTTTTATTTGTTCCAATAAGGTTTAAGCCAACTATTGTCTTGTAGTTCATGCACCACTTTCATATCATGTATTTGCAGTTTGGTTGCTAAAGCTTTTTTTTTTTTTTTTGAAGATATATCATTTTTATCCTGAAGACATAGACTTCAAGTCTTTATGCCACATTCATGCATCCTTAAAAAAAAAAAAAATTTGTTTCCATGCTACAATCTCTCTCTAACACTTAGACTCCATTTGATATAATTGTAGTTATGAGTTTTTAATTTTTAATATTGATATTTAAAATTTAAACAATCAAAATTAAAAATAAAATTACTAACTTATGTTGAGGGTGGGGGGTTGATGAATCGGCAGTGATGATGATATGGAAATTGACTTGGATGCCACTTACGGGAGATGAGGAGGATCCTTTTGGCTTTCACCTATTTCATGTGCGAGAGGCTATGTGCCATGAGTCGTCTTTCCTTTATCTAGCAAAGATGGTTAGTTTTGAGTTCTTCAATAAAGTTTATAAGTGTAAATTCCCTAACCAAGCTAGGAAAGCTGGGCAATGATGATAGAGTTTCAAAAGCTCAAGAATGATTATACAACGACAAAAAATAATGAAGATGATCTATACATTATGGTAGAAGCAGCATGGATAGAAAATATAAGGAGTAACTTTTACAACTTGAGAAGCACATTTATATAAAGTATATTATAATATAATAATAATCACAATAAATGTGTCATCTACTATCCTTGACAAATACTCTCACTCTAAAACAAGCAACCCTTATGTTGTGGGTGACAAACACAATAATCTTCTTCAAACTTTTACAAAACAAAAGAAATAAACTTAAAAATAGTGATGGGAGAAGGAAGGATGACCATTGTGGAGACTTACGAATGGAGGAATTTATCCTATTTCATGATGCTAACTTTGTTGCTTGATCTTTTGATGCTTAAGAAACAACCTAGAATTTGAAATTGTAGCACACAATTCCCTAGCCATGACATGCTACAAGTTTGGAATGTGTTCTGTATGGCCAAAAGTGTAGAAAATATGAGAAAATGGGGATTTCTAGGAAATTTTGGTGTATGAGGTGAAAGGTTGAAGATGAAGATTTCTTTAAGAATCCCTTGCTAGGTCTGTTGAATCCCCCAAAAAATGAAGGAAAAATCAATATATATATGAAGTGGCATTTTGGTAATTTTAAGTTGGTGGGCCAAAGTGGCCCAACAATCCAGCAACTAGATTTGGGAATTGGGTTAGGTGAGGATATGTGTCAAGTTTTGAGTGGATCTAAACACTGTTGATAGCTTTTGAAGTGAAATTATGAATTGTCTAACGTTTCCAGTGAAGGACGATTGATTTGCTAGAGACTCCCCATTTTTGATAACTCTCTATCTATATGAAATACCATATTTGGGAGGCATTTGAGCACTATCTACAAAGCCACCATTATCCAAAATCTTGGTGATTTTCCAAAGTAAAATATAATTTTTTTCAATAGTTTCCTATGTAGTGAAACTTGTACAACATCTATACATTAAAAACAACTGTAGATTGGTGATGAAGACTCAAATGGCAACTCTAGTTGATTTTTAATGAGATTCCAAGCCTTCTAGTTAGCATCAAATGATGTAGTTTTGGGATCAAACTTTGCCTCCACGTCTTTTGCACCCAAACTTTCCTAACGAAGTCAAGCAACATCACCAGCTACAATCTTGGCTAGCATGAATACCTTATTTCGCTACATAGGTAACATTCATCCATTTAGACGTGCTAAGCCACTACTCCCATAGTTTATCTCGAATACTCCCCATGAACTTGGATTCATGGATTTATGTTCATCTATAACAAAGAGCAAAATATGGATGAATATTTATTCAAATGTATAAGTATGTGTAGCAAAGAAGAATACTCCATTGTATATCAAAAGGGAAAGGTGAGAATGAGCACTACTGTGCCTCTTTATCTACTAGCCATGGGAAGCACTTATGTAATATTGTTGTATATGTCTGGTGATGCACCAAAATAAAGAATGAATAACATGAGTATGTGCTGTAGTATCATTTTATCAAGGTAAACGCTACTGATTGACAATACCTACCAACACATACAAATATAGAAGAAATATGCTATAAATCAAGATTACCTGCGACCAATAATTT